TGCGCATTCCCATGGATAAATTCTTCATCACCTATGAGAATAGACCAAGACATCTGGAAACGCAATCTGGTCTAATACAGAAAGCCATAGAACTGAAGAAAGCGTTACAAATCGATGATAAACCAAAAGCCTCTCTCCCCATGAACCCATTAGCAGACATTGATGTAGTGTGTTGCACCCAACTGCTCGACTTCTTCAGGAAATCAAACACTCCTCCAGAGCAAATGTGCTCACTGGCCCTTGAGACAATCAATGTCAACTATCCTGCAGATCAATGGCTCCAAGTCTTCACTGATGGGTCATTCATAGAAAACGAAAGAAACGCTGGTGCAGGTATCTATTCTGAACTCTTCTCTTTCTATGCAGTAGTATGACACTATAGATCCGCTTTTGAAGGAGAAATAGAGGCCATTAGGACATTCCTAAGCCAATTATGTCACCTGGATACGAAACTCACCAAAGCGGTGATACTTTTGGACTCACAGTCAGCAATAACCTCAATTGGAAACAGAGAGCCACCCAAAACATCTGAGATAAAGGAATGAAGAAAACTCTATCAGCTGTTGAGAGAGAAAAACAAAACAGTGGTCCTACAATGGATTCCTGGTCACTGTGGCATTAAAGGCAATGAGCATGCTGATCCATTTGCCAAGAAGGGGACAACGATTTTGCAATGCATGGACCGGCCGATGTCTTTCCACACAATGAAGGCCTTATTCAGGAGAGAATTCAAGACCTCAAGGTGCAGCGAACTCAAAGCTCAAAAAGGAGAAACAGTTGACAGTGGCACTCTCCGAAATGGCCGACAGGCCAAGAACCGAAGCCGTTGCTGAGTTTAGACTACGTACCGGACACGATTGCCTGGCAAAACACCTTCACAGATTGGGAGTATACACTCAACCCACATGCCCCCTTTGTATTCTACATGAGGAAATGGAGAAGACCCACTTGATTCGGTGTCCAGCTCTAAAGACAAGGACGGAAGTCCAGAGATACTGGGAAGCAAGAAGACAGCTAATGAACTGCTATTAATTAACTGGTATAAATGTACCCCCCCCCCCTCCTTGGGGAAAGCTGAAGGCAAAGGTTATGGGCTGACGATAAATATCATATAGACTGCCACTTGAAATAAATAAATAAATAAATTATTATGCACAATCGAATACTCTCGAAAATAATCAAATAGCAGTTAAGTCACAAACCGTAGCTTATTCTGTTTTGATCTCCCAAATACCTATTTATAAAACTTTGAGTAGCATACATAGTCATCCATCAAACAAACAAACAAAAAATTCATCATCTGAATTCTAGAAAATATCACTGGGAGATATTGCATAAAAGAAAAGGGCATAAGCTAAAGAAAGAGACAAGAATTTCTGCACTTCGACATGCTGTTGACTCCTGTCCAGTTTTAAACGAGAAATTGTGAAACATGCAAGTGAGACAGGAATTTAAAACAATAATTTAAAGACGCCGAGGTGAAATATAGAGAGAGTCAACGTATGTGGGAGTATAGGTCAGTGGAAGAACATTCGACTGCAGATCGAGAGGTTCCTGGTTCATGTCCGGGTGCCCCCCTAGTACTGCACTGTTTAAATGATGACGAAATGGTGATTGCTTTTATACCGAAGAGTTGGTAACTTTTCCATTTAACTGCTTATGTCTGTGCATTGCATTGAGTTTCTCTTAAAGGCATTGATTGTATTTGGGAAGTGGTTCCATAAAATAAAGTATGCACCAACTTCTCTGATGGATACGAAGTTCGGCGCTAACATAAATAGGATTAAGTATTGACAATCACTTAACCCTAATCAATTAATTGAAATTCATTAGCTATCAAGTATTTTTTGCAAACGAAATTATTTTATGGTTAAAAGTGCAGAACCTATCGATTTGTGTCTGTCAGAGGGGTCTCTTCATTCACCACCACACTTGTTCCCCCCCCCATTGCATGTATATCGGACGCACCTTCGAATCGGCTTAGAGGCACTCGAGATTTCGGTGTTCAACCTTGACTCCGTTATGCACTCCACTGTCTACAAAGGTTGATTCATAGTGTTAATGATGTATTTAGAGGGTTTTGAGTGCATCGTTTGTCATATTAAATCCCAATACGCTTGTCATTGGTACCAACTCTATTAAACAATCTGATTGGCTTGTCAGACAATATTCTCCACTATGGCACAAAGTTCGTGTCATTTGAACTAAAACACGTTAATTTTGGGTTGGGAAATGGTGCCGTATTATGGAGAAGCCCTGGTCCTCTATTCTGCTTTTGTCCTCCAACTGGTCGCAATCTCTTCTGAAGGATGGATATGTGGGAGGATTTACTCCAATTGTTTTCTTAATGAACCCCATCCCTTTACGTCCATTACCCTGGCACTTCTGGTTATAGCTACGATTTTTACTCTAATTGCAGCAATTCTGCAAACCATCTGCATCGTTAAACACACTGAACGATACCTCTTGTATTCAAAAATTTCAACGTTTTGTGCTGCTATATTTGGTGTGGCCGGCATATTCTACTATTTCGACCTATTTTTCAAACAATATTGGAGTCAGCATATTGCTGGATTCGTAGCTGGTATTACAACGGGGCTATCAGCTTACCAAATGACAAACGTCTTCCAAGAAGTATTCGAAAATTGTAGATTGCGTAAAGGATAACAATTGCAGAGTCAGTTAAACATCAAGTCGCCCAATTCATCAAAATAATTGTTCTGTTACAAATTAAATTTTCTAAATATAGATGGAGTAGTTCATATCTGTTTTGTCTTCTAATGCCTCTGTCGCTAAACGAGCTCGCTTCGATTTAATTTTGCTTTTGATTACCTTACGATTATTGATTTCAAATATGTGCGATGCATCGCCAAACACTGGAACGTACCAGATGTGCAAATAGTTTAGCAAAAAGAGGGTGAATGTAGTGGAGGAGCCTTAGATGTTAGGTCTTTGCACATTGGCACCAATGGACCCCTGCCATCAACTGGGTAAAGAAAGGCAGTGAGGTAAATCCACTGCTCAGTTTGTATCGTAATGTCGAGGTGATTGGGAGTGCTTTCGACATTCCCGAATGCAAATTCACTTGTCTACAAGGTGAGTGTTTGGAAAGTGTAGGGTAAGGGAGGGAGGGGGAGGGGTTGAGGAGCAAGAGTTTTAGACATTTGGAGGTCGAATAGGCAGTGAAAATGGTGTAGTAATGGAAATGAACTAGTAACCAAATTTCGCCATTATCAGGAATGAGATAAGGGAGTGAATTCAGCTGTCACACTAATTGTTACCTATTATTGTTTGAGCTTTCTCGTTTTCCAGTGCCTAACAGCCATAGTTACCAAAACTTTTACTCAAGCATTGAAGTTACAATGTGAGAAATTTAAATGAATGGACTCGAGGGTCGGGGTCGGACATCGCATCAAATCTCCTCAAACTCGGTGGTGGTGGTGGTGGTGGCGGTGGCGGAGTGTTTATTTCACTGTCTCTAAGCCACACCAACTGTTAGTCTTACGGTTGTACTATTCGCCATGAAATACGTTTTCACATGAGGAAATGAAGGAGATGGTTTGTGCTTTAGCATCTTGTTCGGAATTACTCGGAAGTGGTGGTCAGTGTTTCGTCCAACTCTCGGAAAGCAGTCAGAATTTGAAGAACATGAAAATTAGGCCATCACACTCTGTTCAAATAGCCTGAAAATGTTTATTCATGAATCACCAGCCATTTGTGCGAATATCTCTTCTTGGGTTAAGATCTTCGTATTTTGCTGCCTAAACTAATTCTCATCTTGTTTCCCAATGAAACCTTCTGGTTATAGCTACAATATTTACTCTAATGGCAGCAATTCTGCAAACTCTCTGCATCGTTAAACACACTGAATGGTATCTCTTGTATTCAAGATTTTTAACTTTGTGTGCTGCTATATTTGGTGTGGCTGGCATATTCTAACATTTCGACCAACTTTGCAAACCCGTTTGGCTTCTATCGAATTATTTAAAGAGTGCACTTAAAAATTGTAAATGGGTGGGTTTTTTAAATTAAGATTTGCACAAAACTCTCTAATGCATACGAAGGAGATTAATGACATAGAGAAAATCATCAAAATTCTCTGCACATTTTGCCTATTCATAATTGTATTTCAAAGAGTTAGCTCTCTGACAGTTATATCTTAAATTAAAGCATTTAAGCCACAGGTCTAATTCCTCCATATACAGTTGATGTAGGTTAGTCAATCATCTCGGCCGTTCCATAATTTGAGTTCTTGCCAAAGGCATTACCAAGTCAAGTTTTAATACTGTAATAATCAGATGCAAGTTAGAAGCCCAATTAGAAAGTAGAAAGTTGATAAATGCTAAATTTAGCTTTGGAATATAAGATTAGGAATTCGTTTTTTCATTTACATCAGTTAAAACTAAATGATTGGAAATTATTGAAAAAAAGGACATGCATAATTTTTTTGAGGGGTGCGCGATAGACTTACCTCCATGTGGTACACCCTAGACAACGTATCTTCGTACGGCAAAAAGGTCTATCACTCGGCAT